ATTTGCTGCCATGGGCACCTTGAGCTTCACGTGCTTCTGCCCGCAGGCGTCTGCATAGGCATGTTTGTGTATATGGACATCTACACACACCTATGGGCACCTATGGGCATGTATGTGCATGAGCACAGAGGGAGAAAGACACGGAAATTCGTAGCAAATGCAGTGGAGAGGCCCAGCTGGACGCAGATTGACACCATGCCGTGAYGTTACTGCAACAACAAGAAAAAGTCTTGAAGGGATTTCAAGGGCCCCAGGATGGATTCATTTATCAGTATAGAGCATATATCAGTGGGCACTCGAGTTTCACAACGCTTTGCAAACGTGAACCCTTGGCTGTGAAAACACCAAGGCAGGTGACTCCTCCTGCAGCGTGTTCCCGTGCACTGCCTTACCCGGGATGAATCCCAGAGGGTCCTGCTCTATGGACTAGTTCCCGTGCACGGGGAGCTTGTTTTCCTTCGTTCCTCTGAGCAGCAGCTTGGAAGTTTCACCACTGCCCACGCAAGCAAACTGCCCTCCCACCGCAGCAATGACAACCCGCAGGCTGCCCAGGGGCTCCCACTGCTTCAGACCCCTTTTCTTTTCCCCCTGGGGCCACCTACGCTGCAGGCAATATTYAAAGGAAGGTAAGGGGAAAATGAGCTGTACTTTTGGCATCGTATGATGCCAAATCCTTCCTATCCATTCCGCAAAGGCTTCCCTTGAGTGGCCTTCTCACCGCGTCTGATGGGGGCTGAACCAAGTTCTGTCACGGGTTCATCTCAAAAAGCCAAGCCCTTGAACAACAACAACAATAATAATGAACGAATGACTGCATTTTTCTCTTCAAACAGACAGAGTTTGCGTGTTTTCTTGTTTCATGTCTCTCTCGATACATAAATACTCGAAAGCAACACCAGCGGGACGGGCGAGGGAAAAGCGGTTCCTTGCGAGCGAGATTAACAACAGGAGCCCAAAATGCAAGTTCCTGCACTCCAGTTCAAAGCCCGCGGCTCATTCTTTGGATGTATTCATCCAGTTAATGTAAAGCAGGCTTTTGCTTAGAAAAGCATGAACCCAAAGCCCCTGTTTTGCTGCTTATCTTGTTATCCTTTATTTGGGGATTAGGTTGCTTTTGTGGCTGCAAGCATGTTAACTTTCTCCCCGGCTGCTGGGTTTTGCTTCGTGACTGATCTTTCCTCCTTGCTCCTTGCGGGGCTTTTGCCTCCTTTAAAAGCCTTTCCTTGCAAAAGCCCCTGTGGATTCTCCTGGGTAGGAGTTCACGTACCTGCTCCTCCGCACTGAGCAAAGCCCGGGCCCTGCTTCGCTATTGCTCCCTTGGCACTGATGGATCCGATCCGCAGGACCGGGTCGGGATGAGGCCGGCAGCGAGGCCACGGACCCCAGCAGCGGCAAGGAACATTTCCACTGGCTACAAGGAGAAAAAAGCTGGATCTGCATCCAGCAGTGGCGTGTGTGCGGCCGGGGCAGCCTGGCGCGGCGCCGAGGTCGGCGCTGCTTCCAGCGGAGGCCTGGCCGGAGATCCCTCGCAGGCCAAATTATCCTGTGTTCCCAAATCCTTCTTACGCATGTCAAGCCCACAGGAAAAAAAAAAAAAACAAGAGGCTTAACATTTAGTTACTATTTCTGGACAGGCATGTATTTTTTTTTTCTAATTGAAAACAAATATTTCTCCAAAACAGACATCATTTGATGCTAAACAAGGCCCCGAACGAACAGAACAGCTCCTTCCTGCTCAAGCACAGCACTTTGCCCAAGCCCAGAGATCTCGGCTGGCTCCGCTCGCTTGCTGAAAGCTGGAAGGAACTTGGTTCCCCCCGGCCGAATCCCGCGCCGGGGGCCCGGGCCTCTGCCGGCCGCTCTCCTGCTCCCAGGGCCGGTTGTCCCGCGCTCCCCGCCGGCCACAAAAGAGTTGTCACGAGTCACGTTTGCAATAATTTAACGGATTATTTGCTTATTAGATATTAATCATGCTGCCGCGGCCGGGGGCCGGGCGGGGGCTCCTCTACYAGAGCGGCGATCCTGATCTCAATTAGATTATGTCTCTCTCCTTTCCCTCCCCATAAATCATTCGGGCAAACTGAAATTAACAGCTACTGGAGCGCATTAATAACGGGCCGCGCGCACCGCGAGAGGCATTAGCYGGAACCCTCCCATCACTCTGCCCGCTAAGCACATCATTTTGTTTATGAAATATAAACATTTCATGGACGAGCTCGCGCGCGTTTCGCCGGGCCCCGTGACAGCTGAAATGATGGCCGGCGATGGCCGGGCGGGCACCGCGCCGGGGCTCGCCGGCCCTTCCGAACTGCCTCGCTTCCCGCAGAACTCCGCTCCCCCGGCGGGAGAACAGGGGAAGGAGAGTTATGCGTCACCGGGAGAGATGTGCGCTCCACGGGATCCGGCTGCTTTCCCGGAAAGGGGGAGGCTGTGGCAGCCGGGTCCATGCTGACCTGCCCGTCCCTGGCCACCCATGGGCTCTCCACGAGAGGCAAGTCAGCGGGTGCAACATCCCGGGCCTGGCCTGGCATCCATCCCGGTGCTGGGACCCATCCTGGCTCCTTCTGGCCTGGCTGTGCCCGTGTGCGCCCATCAACAATAACTAACTGCAACCAACGGCAGCATTTTATTATTGCTATTGCTATTACCATTACCATTACCATTACCATTACCATTACTATTATTACTATTATTACTATTATTACTATTATTACTATTATTACTATTATTATTATTATTATTATTATTATTATTATTTTAACCCAGGAATGAGCCTTTTTAAGACCGAGCTGAGTTTTGTTTGTTATTCTCAAAACGCATTCACAGCATAGAGAGTGATGTCTCCGGAGGGCCCTTCTGCCACGGAATATTATGCGACTCTCTATCAATAAGTGACACGGCTTTTTACGTGTTTTAAGCAAAAGAAATAATTGCTGCTCCTTGTGGAGTCAGGCAATTAATTGCCTAATTATTTTGTTAAGTGTCACCACTAAAAGAAAAACATTGCTGGAGCTTTATTGGCAAATCCTAGGCTGAGCTAAGGGGGAGATTCTGGGAAAGGACATGCGGGCTGTATATCTGCACTGTACCAAAGTATTAAACTCCTAATAAAAATGTCTTGGGGGGGGGAAAAAAAAAAAAAGGGATTTGCTTCTTTATTGGGAGCCTTGGGCAGTTTTTCCAAGTTTTTCCAGGYTGGTGCTTTTGCTGCCTCATGGATGTGGACCAGGAGCTCAGAGGCAGGCAGGGATCCAGCTGYCGCGTAGGGAGAGCTCCACGGAGGACCAGGTCACGTAGCCACCTTCCCAAGCCCCATCTCAAAGCAGGGCTTCCCTTCCTTCTTCRCCCATCAGAGGCTCTTCCAGGATCCCACTCCTCTGCTGGCTAGAAATGATCTAAAATTGCTTAAATTTCCTCGTGCTCAGTTCCTTCGCTCCGGCGCCGATACTGTTTGATAGCTCAAGTGTCTCTTCTCTACTGCGCTCCAACATTTAATTTCTCTGCAGGCACCAGTGTCGCGGACACATGGAACTCCGTCACGGGTCAACTGCAAGAGCTCTGGAGGTTACACAAACACAGCAAGATCTGCTTCTCCTGTACTAGCAAGGCTGTGAGCCCATGTCAGCAGAGGCTGCCTTACAGCTCAGCTGAATCCAGTTCAAGTCTCATGTCCAAGAGCTTCAGAAGACCCGAGAGTCACCCGAAATTCTGCGGGAAATGTTGAGGTCAACACAGGAAGGAAGCCAAGACTATTTAGTCCAACAAGTGACCCGGCTACAGCGCGTGGGAGCGCTGGGAAAAGGGCGCTGCCGCTGGCAGCCTTTCATTTGCAGCCCCACACTTGACACGCCACGGTCGGATGTGACAGACCTCGGCACTTCGCACTCTCTCCACCCCATCTGAGCTCAAATGATGTTTTCCCCATAGCCTCCTACAGGCTAGATGWAAGAATATTAGGATATAATGCCGGATGTGGCGCCATCGAGTGCCCTACTCGTGCCCAGTTGCATTTACTCCTCGGTGTAGCCACCACCTGCTGAACATTTGTCTTCCTTCTCCTCTTCTGCCATGCGGAGGCAGACATTGAGCAGCGGCTTCTCCTCTAGGCTCTTCATCCAGGCTCCCTGTGCAGCAGTTTCACCAGGAAGCGGGTTTCCACTTAACGGGACAAGGTGCCAGCTACGCCGTCGGCCGGCGTAACATGCCAGGAGGGAAACGACTTCCATTTATTGTGGGTAAATGATATCCACGATGCAGGAGAGCAGAAGGTGGGAAACCGGGAGCCCGCTTCAGGAAAGCACTCAGAGGCGTGCCTCAAATCAAGCACATGCTTAAGTCCTATGGTAGCTAAAGGATATAATTTGAAGCCAAAGGATATAATTAAGTGCTTTCTCCCATCAGAAAGATTACAAATAACCTCCTATTTGCACGTTTCTCTGCTGTTGCAGTTATCACTATGCCCATTACCTTAACAGCGGCAGCATATCCCCCATGCAAAATACTCTGGAAAGATCCAGGACAAAGCGTTAACTGAGCAAATATTGTCTCTGACGCATTAACGCCCGGAGACCAGGAGACAGGTTGCGAGGTCGCGCTGCACACAAGACGCGGGGCTGCAACCGCAGCCCCTCGTTGGGTTTTTGTTGGCTCGGTTGACCCTGGAAGACTGAGGGAASCTTTGTGAGCTGCCAGAGTGAGCAAACACCGGGGTCACGGCGGAACCGCGCGCATTGTGTCATGTTTCTCAAGGTAAGGCTCTGGTTTTTCCCACAGGAAAAACCCTGCCTGCGGTTGCGCCCGTTATCAGCGGGCGGGCGGGCTGCCTTTGCAAAACCAAACCTGCCTCGGGCCCGTGCTGCTCGGCCTCACCTCCACCATCAATCCCGCACCTTGAACCCTTGGATCCAAATTACAAAAAGGTATGTGAAAGTTGAAACACTCGATCCAAAGACTTAACACCCTCCACCTCCTTGAAAAGCCCCCTCCCTTATCCTCACCAGTTCCACCTCCCGGGGACACTGAAGTGCAGCGTTCGCTCCCGCCAGAGCCTTCGCCCACTGCTGGGTGACTCCAGCAGTGCCTCCTTGCCGCGCCACGCCACGGGATTGGAGCTGGAGAAGCCTTGGATTGCAGTCCTCAAGTGAAGATTACAGGCGTTGGGAGCATTTGGTAGCTTCTAACCTTTGAGCTGTAAACTAATGTAAGGCAAAGCCTCTTGACAGCAGCTGCAATTTCCAGGGAGCCGACAGCTGAGGCAAGCTTATCAGACCAGCTACAGCCACCTTAGACGTACGTTGGGCTACATACACCTGCACCGGAGCGGGGACATTATTTTAACTGACAGCGTGAAGATAATAAAATAGCAAATAATTCTTCTAGCTCTGCATGCTGTCCATGCGCAGTGTGAAGAACACCACTTTGCACTGATTTCAGCGAGACGAAACAAGTTGCAAAATGAAACCAACACCTTTCTCTTGACGGACGGCACTCCTAGCTCTGGGCTTGTGTTTTCCAGGAGGATACGGCCAAAAAACGATGCTGAAATTTGGCCGCCTTGCTCGACTCGAGCCACCCATTCGTGCAGGAGCTCATGTAAAGCAAACAAGAGGCCCACGTTCCCACGGGTGGCATCAGCCTGGCGATCTTAACTGCTGCGGCAGGTCTGACCACTGCGAACCGGGCAATTACCCGCTCCGTTAACAAAGCCTCCCTGCTGGAGAAACCAGCAGCCCGAGGGAAGCCCTGCGGGGCCAGGACCTGCTCCGGGGCCCCGTCACCRCTACGTGCTCGGCGCGAGCACCACGTGCCCGCGCGCAGGGGCGCACGGGGCCACCTTCTCGCTCGGGCAAATAAAGCCCCGAGCGCGGCGCGCAAATCCTCCGCGCGGGTGTTTACAGGACGCCCGCGCTGAGCCCCRGGCGCTCGGGTTGACGATGTGTCGTGTCGGCGGCCAGCGCGGCCCCAATTTGGACAAACCTGCCATTAGCACCGGCGTGGCAGTTATTTTACTGGGGGTGACAGATTGTGAGGTAGGGAGAGTAATTCAGACTATTACCCAGGTGAAGGCATGAAAGCTCCGTGATATATGAAGACCACTTAAATTCATTGTATCTTGTACATCACATCTTTGATAGATTATAGCTGTGGCATTAAAATGGAAATGGTTTCTCGGAGGCCTGACAGGGGCTGGGGTGACCCGTGACCTCCCTCTGAGGAATGTGACTGACCGAATTATCAGTTAAGAGAAAAATCTATGGGGAATAGACTCGCCGTGATGGAGAACCCACCATGCATATATATATTTTTTTTAACTTTGGGGTTGATTGAAGGCTGCAGCACTCGACTCCCCCAGCTCCAAGCACCCTCCCTTCCCCGCTCTGCCTCTCCCCTCGGCCCCAGGCGCCGCGGCGCCGCTTCCAGATCGGCGGCTTCCCTCCCCACCGCCCCGATATTGATTGAAAAATTGTTATTAGAGATAGTAAGCCTTCCTGCACGCTGCCTACTGATTTAATTTGGAAAACATTTAATTTTATGAAGCGGTAAATGATGGTGGCACGCTCCCGCGTGTTCGGGAGCAGCTGGCTCTTTAGCTGCGCGCCGCCGCTGCTCCCAGGTGTCCTCTTGGCAATCATGTGCTCCCTTCCCCTTTGCTTAACAAGTTATTTCAATTTCTAAACGAGGGCTGAACAAGAGAGAGACAACATGCAAATGGGGAGCGGGGCCGCCATTCACACATGAAAAAGTTCCCCTGGAATTCCCTCAACTCGGCCCGGCCCTCCCTCCCTCGCGCTGCATCTGTCAGGGAAAAAACACAGGCCTTGTTCTCATCAGATTGTTTTTACCAATGACCTGACACCACCATCTATAATTAATTACATCATTTACATTAGACTATTGACTAAACAAATACATAAATCATAGGCAGAGTCAATAGACGCAGACATATTTAATCATGTTCTAAATAATGATTACTGCTCCCATAATGCAATAATTATTTTCAGCAGCTGACTTGAATTAATCTTCTGTCAAAGTGCCATCTGAGAACAGAAAGTAGACCGGGACGAAGATGGAGAAGGGAGCCCTGGCGATGGCAAAGCCACCCGACGCCTCCCGTTGGCTCCCTCCCGTCCCGCTATCTCTGCGAGGTCTCCGGCCGGGCTCCCCAGGACCAGCCACCTTCCCGGGGAGGGGAACTCGCCCGGAACGGGGCACCCCACGCTCCGGTTTGTGGGTCACGAGCGCCCTTGGCAAGAGTGTGGCCGGCCTCGAKGACGGGCCCTGCACAGACCCACCGGACACGACGTGTGCCCCCTGACGCGGAACGGAGGGGACGTCGCTCGGCCCCAGCGCCTCCCTAGGCTGCCCAGGGCACGGGTTTGTTCCCTGCCTTCTTGCATCCTCAAGATACTCCACTCCATGAGTGTGATTCCGCACGGCAATTCTGCTGCTCCTAAGGATGAAGGATGAGCGGGAGTGAATGTCAGATAATTTAAGATATGGAACCGTCTAGGAAATCGGATTGTAAAATCAAAGCCGCCGCTCTTCTCGGAAAATAAGGCCCTCCGATTTTGGGGAATTGCATTTCCCAAGCAAGAGGCAATTAAAGCAGGGACTATTCAATAACAACGTGGTTATGTGTGTACTGCTGAGTCTTGATATCCATGCAAATAGAGGCTTTGCTGCGACACTAAGCTAAGCGAGCCTGAGGCGACGTAGTGAATTGCATTTGGATATTTGCCTTCTTAGTATTTACAATACTCCACAAAGTAGCACTTTTGAAAGCTTCTCTTAAAGAGAAGAACTGGACTGYGGACTACACTGAAATATTTATGAAGGGTAATGAAAAACCCACCCGTCAAAGGCAGTGATATAGGGTGGTAAATATTGAATGATGAGTGTGTTATAACCATAAATAAACAATAAGCATAAACGATAGTGAATATAAATAGTTATTAATACAAATGGTAAATAATAAAATATAAGCTCAAGCGGGAGCTGCGAGCGAACGAGGACAGACCTCAACTTCGGAGTGGTTCTCCCTGCTGCTCCTCAGGGTCTCGGGCCGAGTTCAGCTGCAATCTTGTGCTTCTCCTCCACCCAAAGGAGAGCCATGCAAATTGCTGCGCCTGGCTCTCAACACGCACTAATAGTGTCTCCACAATACGCTATTGTAAGAGGAAATAACAGCCCTGACCTTTTGGAGGGTCCAAACCCTTAATGGCCAATGGGCACAAAGGCAACAAATCAAAAGAATATATTACCAATAACGTTATTTTCTTCGTTGTCACTAAAAGGAAGGGGCCGGGTGAGCCAGCAGGCACCGCGGTTGTGTTACAGGCAGCCTTCAGCCCTGGATTTTAATCACAGAGGGAAAAAGGGGGAAGAATTTCTCCCAGCAAGGAATTCCCGTCTGTTCCTGTTTCAGCGCCGTCTTAGCCTTCTGAATTTATCTTATCCAGGTAACCTTGCACGTTATACCCAAAGGCCAGGCTTTAATGACACCATTAAGCCCGGGCCTTTGAACCCGCTCGTTGTCTCCCGCCGTGGCCGGGTCCCCGGCAGCCCAGGCCTGTTTGCTCAGGGCAGCCTCCCGTCGCGGGGCTGCCGCACACACGGGCACTTTCCCAGCGGCCGCGCGGAGAGGGTCCGAGAGGCTCCGCGAGCGCCGGGCCGGAGCGCGCCCGTGCGCGGCCTCGCCGCCCGCGCCGCGCCCCGCGCGCTGCCCTCGTCCCTCGCGCGGCCCCGGCTCCCGCGCCAACATCCCTGCTCACCACAGCGGGGAAAACGAGGCACAACCGGGACATCTGCACCACAGAGCACCCACACAAACGCTCCTTTCTCTGATTCCTCTCACTGAAGTCACCRGACCTGCTCCTTATCTAATTACCCCGGCTAGAACCAGCTTCAAAACAAAGTCATTTTTTTTTAACCGCACTTCTAGGCTTTTGAAAATGAACACACTTTTTTGTTTGTTTTCTTGTTAAATTTGACTTTGTCGGGTACAACATTTGACTTAAATGCAGAGAAGTTGCCTGCAGTATCTTGAGGCTCTTTTTCCTAATTAAATCTTCAGTCATTTCTTCAGAGGCCGGCCCTGGGATGACTTCTCGTCGCGAGCGTTTCTGGCTGATTGTCTGGCTTTGGGACAATCTGACTCTTTGAATGATTCTCCCATTGAGCTCTGTTTTTCCCAAGCCAGAAGAGAAGTCCTGGCCAAGTTCTTGGGGCTGAAAATGGTGGCCAAGAGCTGGGGACCAGCCTTGGCCTGACTTGAACGTGATCCTGGATGGATCGCTGTCAGCCGGGGTAAGCAGCGGTGTGGATATGAGCTCATGGCTTGCCCCAAGCTCTTTAATAAAGAAATAAGGCTCCTTTATTACAGACAGAGGTAAGTAGCCAAATGATACGGTTATTAATAAACTTCTGTTAAGTTTGTCATTTTAAGCTGCGTTTAAAAGCCAGCTTTTAAAGCGACGCTGCAGGAAGACAGTCAACAGCAAGGAGAGCTGGTCTTTGGCTTGATTAGATTTTGCTCCCTTTACCTTGATGAAACGATGCCTCATTAGCATTCCAAAATGAGAGCGCGCTCTAAATGTAAGTGGATTTTAATACAATCTTCCCGAGGAAATGTCAAACTCCATTGGCCGCTTACCCTTCGCCCTTCCCTTCTCGAATGGCAGAGCGCACAAGGAACCGGGCCAAAATAATAAGCGAGGGACACAGGGACTTGGGGAGGCAAGGTAAAAAATAAGGGCTCAGGGAGAAATTCTCCTCGTAGCAACATCTCTGCACGCGCCGCCACGGGCTCGGTTGGCTGCTTCACCTGTGGTTGCACACTGGGGTAACAGGCCAGGCTGTGGCCCTGTGGACTTCTCATGTCAATGCTTGCCCTTAGAAAGATGCACTGACCATGCATGTCACTGCCTCAGTTGCTCCATCCAGCTGGAAATGCAAACCTGGCCGCCTATTCCTTGCTGCGCACCCTGGTTTATTGGGAATAACTGGAGCTGGGGGCACACGGGCCATAGGAGGCGAGGGCACCCCTGAAAAACCATAAGCCAAGTTGAAGGGGTCTGGAGTCAGAGCACAAACCCTGTTGGGCGAAGCCTATCTGCTTAAATCCAATTAAATATTAACATCCCCC